CACATTGGGATTATCCAACAGAACTGACTGGCAGTAGTTTCTGTGCAAACAAAAGAATGCATTTCTTCCCCACACACATACTACATTCACTGAATGTTAGTTCCAATGCATGTATATTTAGCTCACAGTATCGCTGCATCATTGGTTTTGTAGTCTTTAGGCTGTTTAAAGGTTTAATAGTTCCTATCCTTGAAGTCAGGGGCATGGGTGGCACTGTGGTCTAAATCACAGAGCCTAGGGCTTGCCAATCAGAAGAGCGGCGATTCGAATCCCTGTGATGGGGTGAACTCCTGTTGCTTGGTCCCTGCTCCTGCCAACCTAGCAGTTCGAAAGCACGTCAAAGTGCAAGTAGATAAATAGGTACCACTCCGGTAGGAAGGTAAATGGCGTTTCCATGCACTGCTCTGGTTCACCAGAAGCGGCTTAGTCATGCTGGCCACATGACCCAAAAGCTGTCTGCGGACAAATGCTGGTTTCCTCGGCCTATAGAGCGAGATGAGTGCGCAACCCAGAGTCATCCACGACTGGACCTAACTGTTAGGGGTAGCTTTACCTTTAACTTTATGATTGAAGTCAGTGTTATTTTTCTAGAAAAAAAGGTGCCGCAACTCACCATGAATGCCTCCTTTGTTCTCTTATAATGGCAATGGCACCCACCTGAGAGGTGCCAAAACTGAGTTCCGGCTGACAAAAAGCCCTGCTTGAAGTCATGAAATAGACCCTACTTCCTGGGTGGGAGTGTGTTGGATCTTACAAAAGTAAAGCTATTGAAACATTGACACACAACTTTCTAATGAACCTGGTCTTTTTATCTAAAATTCATTTTAGGCAGAACTTCAGACCAGCCATAGCGAAAGGGCAACACGCAAGCTGGGGAAATGTCTCTGTGATTTCACCCACAGTCAGGGCTTGAGAGATGGTTTGATGATTGTAAAGACGAGCTTGAAGCTTATGAGGGAGAAGACAGCAGATATGATCATAGCAATTGGGGAGAAAGTTATTCAGTTCCACATTTGTAGCTTCAGCGACTGAAGCGACAGCAACAATAATAGGATAGACTCAATTCCAGAGCAGAGATGAAAGTTTCAGGAACAGGTGCCAAGAGGAAAGGGCAGGTTGTGGAGCTACAGAGGTGGAAGAACTTGCTTGTCATAGGGAAGTAAGGAGGGCAATGGAAGGAAAGTGTCAAAGATATCTCTAAAACTGAATGCTTTGGAGAGGTGAAATGGTATCTGTGACAAAGAAATATGTCAGGGAGAGAGGGAGGTTTGGGAGAAGAAATGTACTGGATTTGTTATTTTCAATTTGAAATGCTGTTGGCACATCCAGAAAAGAAAAACTAAACCAAAGGGAGAAAAAAGTCCTTCAATATCTTTTGATGCAGTATGCTCATTAGCCAACTATTATTTAATATTAAAGACCTGGTGTTCACTACTTTATATCCAAATTCACACCTGTGTTTTTCAACAAATTTTGGGGATGATTCGTATTATTTTATATTTAATAAGAAAACATATAGGATATTGTCAGGTCTGTAGGTGGTTGCTTGCAAGTAAACAGCCAGGACTCCAACCTGTCTTTTCCAGGTTTTATTTAGTGCAACTATTTACAGTTCAGAGATCCAAAGTTCATGTCTGTCTCAGTCACTTGCAGATTCCGGGAGTGGCTTCATCCTGTTCCCCACCCCACCCCCAGCATAAGAACTTAGACACCCCAAATCTCTGCCTCCTTTCCTTATGTTTAACCCCCTTGCGAAAACTGGGTGATGGAAGTGGCATGTTTATTTCCCGACCAGCCTGGCTGAGAGAGGTGCTAAGGCTCACAGTAACGTCTGTGAGCCTTTGCCTCGCTTTGCCCCTCCTTTCCACCTCTGCTTCTTCGGAGGCTTCACTCTCTCCGCTCCCGACGAAGCGCTACTGCAACGTTGGAGGCTCCCTGTACTCTTCTGCCCCCCTCCTCCCTTTCGATGGCAGTACCCTGACAGATATCATAAGCCAGAGTTGGGGGACATTTGCCCCTCTAGATTTTGTTGAACTGCAACTACCACCACTGATGAACCAGGCCTGAGGGGAATTGCCCACCTCTCTCCTAAACATTCAGTAAGTCACTATTTGATCATTGATGCACAGAGACTACAGGGAGAAGGCCAAGTTGTCACTTGAAAAGAAACCCCTCATAGATAAGTAAAATAACTGGTTACATTCCTTTTATTTTCTCCTGCAGAAGCTGATGGATGCTGGGTCCTTTGTTGGTAAAGTTAATATAAAGGCAAGAGTACCTCTGAACACATGCAATGTGCCTGTCAAGTACATCTACTACTCATCTCGTACTTGGAAGAAGGGCTTCCAAGTTGTTCAGCAGAGGACTAACAGGATAATTTAAGGCCTGGGAGTGGGGGTTTTGTTATTTTTTTAAAGCTCTGGTTGGAGGAGTTATAAAGGAGCTTGGCAGTCTTCTGGCAGCTAGCCATGCCTTTCTAGGAAAACGTATCTCACACTCTGAGAGCGGCTGCACCAAATAAACACCAATTTGTAGTACTTTAAATACTGGGAAACCTTCACACCTATGGTTTTTCTAAATGCACTTTAAATCCATTAAAAATCTTTTACTCTGCATATAAACAGCCCTGGCACATACACAAAACTCCCACATACTCTTACGCATAAATATTTTACACCTCCTTTCAGGAGAGTGAAAAGTGTTTAATTTGCATCTACCACCAGGTCTGTTACCACACTTTCTTTTCTTTTCCCACTGCATAAAACTTTCCCTTCTCCCTCCCATGCCCCTGACTGGCTCCACATCACCACAGGTGCATTTCAGGGCTCTTTCATACATGTGCTCTCAAGCACTGATAGTTTACTATGGCAGAACCTTGGGAATAAGTCGCTCACTCCTGTTTCCTTCCCATCGGACTGCCTGCTCTGCTGTATCAGCAGTGCGGACAGTACTTCACTGCAGATTTTACTGCTAGAGCAAGGATGGGGAACCTGCAGCCTTCCAGATACTTGTTGGGCTCCAGCTCCCATCAGCCCCAGCCAACATAGCCGACTGTCCAGGATAATGAAAGTTGTAGTTCAGCAACATCTGGAAAGTCCACTAGTGCCTTCATCCCTATGCCTAATTAAACTACCACTGTTCTGAAAAGGTATTGGTTGTGTTTAGAGTAGATTTATGAAAGATTTAGAAAACTTATTGATTAGAATATGTGTGTGAGATTGTATGGGAAAAATACGGAGTAACAGATACAATCTTGCTTAAAATGTATATAGGAGTGTAAGCTATGGAAGTCAAACAATGGATTATTATTATTATTATTTTCATATTGAGATATTTGTAGAATAAATTTGGAAGAAATTCTTCCAACTTTTCTTCTTCTTTTCTCCTTATTTTTTCTCCTTATTTTTTCTTTTCTTTTTCTGTTTTGTTCCTTTTTTCATATATATGTGCTTATTTGAAATATATACCGGTATGTATGTACATATTTGCAAAATTTTGCTTATATTTTGTTACAATTATGTTAAATGAATTAAAAATTTAAAAAATATTTTTTTAAAAAGGAGAGGGAAAGGTACCTGCACATGTTACAGCGGAGCTGAAAACACCACCCTCCACTCTATTTGCAGGCAGAAAAGAGAGGATGCACTTCTGTCCTTATTTTCAGGGAGATACTTGTTACATTTGGGGGAAACCTAAAAAGCAAGGGCTCAGGCTTAGCTGTCATCGTCCCCAACTCTTTTGGCTTCTTTTTAAACTTAATTCTGACACTCCTCCTACTGCAAACCCCAGCAGCTATTTTGCGTCCCTCCAGGTGTCCTTTTTATTTGTGATGCTTTGTACTCATGATGGTATTGGGGCAGTTAGATGTAATCCCACTTTCTATCTTGTTTGCACTTGCAGAAGTTTTAGTCTTGATGGGACAACTGCTCCACACTCTTATCTCCTCTCCCCCTGTTTTGCTTGACACTCTGGTCTGGTGAAGAGTTCTGAGGAGCTCAAAACCTTGCTTGTTTCCTTGCAACATTTTTAGTGGGTCCTAAAGGTATTGCCTAGCCGTGGATTTGAGATTAAAGTGAACATATATCTCAAAACAAACAGAGGGAAGTGATGTAGCTTTGCACTTCTTCTCCAAATTGAAACCGTTCCAGCTGAATCGAGAAAGCAGCATATTCTGTCTTGGGGCAACGCGGCTCACTAATCCTGGACGTCTTGCCAAATATGCGAGATATGAGAAAACAAAACAATTAAGAGCACAACAACAAGAAGAAAATAAGAAGAGACCAAAAAAAAAGGAGGTGGGAGGAAGGCGGTGTGCAGCTCTCAGAGGATGGTGTGATTCTCTAAGTCTCCACAACACTAATCAAGCCCCGTAGATTCTAATCTTCGCTGTAATTAACTTTATCCAAACGAGCAGCAGGCTGAGTGGCTTTGTCTGGGAGTTCTTCTGGCAATTTAATGTGTCTTGAAAATGACTTGGCACTTCCTGGATGGAGAAGGAGGAAGGAGAGGAAGATTAATGGGATGCCAAATGTTTATTCCTTCTAATGAAAAGGAACTGCAAAGGAAGTCTTATTGCACTCACACCTGGAATAAAGAGGCAAGAAGCACTTGCACTAGGGTAGATCAGGGTCACAGATTTATTTAAATTTTAACTCAGGGATGGGGAACCTGAAACTAGACTACTGTGCAAAGGTAAAATTAACATTTGTTGCTCCGCCCACTTTTCCTGCTGCACATGTCACTAGCATGTGGCCCCTGGAAGGTTGCCCAAGAAGGGAATATGGCCCTCAGACTGAAAAGTGATCCCTACCACTGCTCTAACCATTTCCCCTCCCCAGATCCCACCCCTGAAAAATCAACCACCAAATATGCAGCAATTTATGGGGGTTTGATCACCACCCTTTTTGCAGTTTCAAGCTCTTATCTATGACTAGTGTGCTAAAAATTTCATTGGGAGTGGGAATCAAGAGAGAAAGAAGTTTAAGTTCCAGTGTTCCAGGGCCTGCCTGCAGAACTTTCCCTGCTAAAATGACATCTCCTTCCATTTTCTTCAGCTTATGGTTAACTGTGTCTATTATTTCATATCTTGCAGAACTATAATTTGAAGGAAACGGAAGGAGCTGACATTTTGGCAGGGAATGTTCTGCAGGCTTTTTGTGTGAATGCGATGACATTCCTTTTTTATTATCTTGATTAATAACACAAAGGTGTTGGGGATATTACCATAAACTCCTCCAACATTCTGCTGATCAAAATCAGGACACTGGTTTTTTAGTCCTGAGCTCTCACACGCGAGGCCAAAAAAAAATATGAGCATCTTTTTTAGTTTGGCACTCTGGCGCGAGCCAGCTGATTCACGCCAGAGCGCCAGACCAAAAATTGGACATTCCATGATCCAGTTGGAAGCTGAGATAGCTTCTGTAATTCTGGGTTGTCCCACTCAAATTGGGATGGTTTTAGGTTATGTATTACATGGTAATATGACAGCAACAATCACAGATAACAATGGCTCTCAAAGTGAACCATTGACAGTGGGATCAGGTGTTAAACAGGGTTGTGTTATAGCCCCAACTCTATTTCTTATTTTCATTCCCATTATCCTACACATTGTCAAAGGGAAATGCCCCACCAGGGTAGAAATCTATATCAAACGGATGAAGAGCTCTTTAACTTGAGTAGGCTGAAAGCAAAGAGTAAGTTTACCATAACTTCCATCATAGAGCTTCAATATGCTGATGACAACATAGTGTATGCACGCTCAGCAGATGACCTCCAAACCATCCTAAATATCTTTGCAGAAGCTTACAAAAAGCTTGGCCTATCGTTCAATACCCAAAAAACCAACGTGCTGCACCAACAAGCACAAAACAACCCCTCTGCAGCACTACAAATCCAGATTAACGGTGTAATGTTGGGAAATGTCGATCACTTCTTTCTTCTAGCTGGGCAGCTATCTTTCCACAAGGGCCGACACTGATGCCAAAATCAGCATCGCCTGAGCTTCACAAGTGCAGCTTTCTCCTGATTGAAGTGCAGAGTGTTTGAGGACATTTGCAGGGAAACCAAAATGCTTGTTTACAAAGCTATTGTACTACCATCCTTACTGTATGCTTGTGCACCATGGACCACTTATAAACACCATCTCCAACTCCTCGAAAGATTCCATCAACAGTGTCTTCAAAAAATTTTACATATCACCTGGGAAGACAGATGAACTAATGCCAGTGTACTGGAAGAAGCAAAGATCACCAGTGTTGAAGCAATGATTCTTCAACATCAACTTCATTGGCTTGGTCATGTTGTTCGGATGCCTGCTTATCATCTTCCAAAGCAACTACTCTGTTCTGAACTTAAAAATGGAAAGCGTAATGCTGGTGGTCAACAAAAGAGGTTTAAAGACTCTCTCAAGGCAAATCTTTAAAAATGTAGTATGAACACAGACAATGGGGAAACACTGGCCTGCAAGTGCTCCAGTTGGAGAACAGCCTTTACCAAAGGTGTCATCGACTTTGAAGACACTCGAACTCAGGACACAAGGGAGAAACGTGCTAAGAGGAAGACACATTTGGCAAACCCTCACCTTGATCAACTCCCACCCAGAAACCTATGTCCCCACTGTGGAAGGACATGTGAATCCAGAATTGGCCTCCACAGTCACTTACAGACTCACTGTTAAAACCGTGTTCATGGAAGACAATCTTACTCGGCTACGAGTGATCACCAAATGAGAGGAAGAACTCTGTTGCCATGTGCGTTATACACATTATCAGAACAAAATGTGCCTATCTATTTTTTGTCATGTGCATAGGGTAGGTGAATCATGCAAGTGAAAGACATCACCCCAAGCTCCTTGGAAGAAGAATCAAATAAAAGCGGTTAACACTAACATTATGCAGATTTTTATAGTGCAAAATGAGAGCACTTACACTTGATCTCTAGGGATAAACTAATCTGTCCATTGCATTTTCTTCCTTATTTTTTTCCAATCTCAAGCCCAGTTCATTACATTTTCACATCAGTTTTATTTTTATTTTTTAAAGAAGTCCTCATGAAAATTCATCAGCAGTTTAGTGCACATTTCTCCTAATATTTGGTATGCAATTTTGCCTAATGCACACTTTTTTAACAAAGCAATTTTGCCTAATATAATGCATTTTTGTTGTGTTCACTAATATTTTTATACACACTTCCCGTTAATATACACATTATGGTTTTTTGGGGGGGTTATTGGAGAACTGCATTGCAAAATTCATAGAGCTGTGAATTGCAAAGTATACTGTAGCTCTGTTTTTGTTCATATATTGTTTTGGAGAGGTGCAAATTATCTAGACTTGTGTTAAAATGTGAACTGAACTAAATTTCTCCCCAGCCCTGGTGTTGGCTACTGGGCAGTTGGGGAAATTATTTATATGATGATCCTCCTGCTAAAGAACAGATTTCAACATAAAGATCTGGACTGTTCAGAAGTCAAAGGATTGTTCTTCCACAAAAAACTGAGACAACGATTGCAGCAAATAGTCAGTCTTTTTGTTTTTGCCTTACATATACTGAAGTGAGCTGACACCTCCCTTTGAAGCAGTGATATCATATTAGTTTGCAGCCACTACACCTGAGTGTTGCCTCGGGCAGGCCAAATACAAATATAAGATTTGAACGGATTTAAAAATAATCAGGTGAAATAATGCAAAAGCTATTTCAAAATGTCAAACCTAAGATTTTTCAATTAGGTGTGTTGCAGGGTAAAATGACGGGAGAAAACAGAAATGATTTTCTAGGTGGCTAGTCTAATTCTTGGAACAAGTTGATGCAAATCATTCCCTCCCTCTCTTTCCCTATTCCCCACTTGTCATTGCTTCTGGGAATGACTGATCAGCATCTGCCACATGTCCACAACTGCATCTGGAATGCTTGTATAATATGGTTACATATTCTGTGCGGGCCAAATTCTACATAAGCTTCTGAGTCCAAGCTTAATGCTGCTGATGAAAAAGGAGTGTTTTGGCTTTTCTTACTGCATCGAAGGCCATTGCCCTTCATATGTTTGACATCCTGCCCATCTGGATCACGGTAGATGCCGGAGGTCTGCAAATGTCCAAATAAGAAACATGAAGACATCACAATAATGACCTGGTGTCAGTTACATTGCATTTCTTGTTCTGCTAGAAATAGTCAATGGCACAGACAAAGATTGACCATGTATCCAACTATTTTTGCTTTCAGATTATTGGTGGCATGCATTTGATGTTTGTTCTCAGCACAGGGTGGCTAGCACCACTCTAGGCCATTGTGGGAAATTTTAATGGCAGTGTGGGGTCCTTGCAGCTGCCCAGGGCTGGGGGTATTCTGTGTCTTATCACTGGGCCTGATTCTATGCATTCTCAGGATTTCACAATTATTAACAATAATCAACAAAACTGCTCCAGAAAAATGTTGGCAAATGCTAGCTGTAAATTACTAGTAACGAAGATAGTGCTAGAGAGCCAGGAAATGTTATTGCTCAATGTGTATATCCCTCCCACTCCCACTGTCACAGCCAAGAACCTACAATGGGATCTTATTACACATGTGCTTGAGAACCTGGACTCCATCTGCCCTGACTTACCTGTCATCTTGACTGGAGACTTTAATGCCCGCCTAGGACAAGGGTGGGAAGTGTAGAAATTTTTTTTACTTAAGATCATAATATTCTGCAGGAAAATATGACAACATAGAATTAGAACATTTCATCTAGGAAATCTCAAAAACCTGCTTGAATTTGCTTTCACAGGAGGTAGTCATTTTCTTTACAATACTGTATAAGGAGCAACCAGTTTTTTCCATAATTTACTTCTAGATTCATTTGCAGTTCTCTCTCTTAGACACATTATTTTGGCCATTATATCCAAATCTCCAACTTTATTAAGCCATTCTGTCCAAGAAGGGAGAAATGTGACTTTCTGGTTTTGAGCCATTAATATTCCTTTCCCAGGCAGATGTTTTTATCTGCCCCCTGCTTTGAGCACATATAACTCTGATAGACATCTTGAAATCTCCACCACCTCTCCCATTCAGAAGCAACCCTTTGGTTTCTAGGATGAATTCTACAGCACAAACGTCTGAACTCTATTTGTATACTGAACATAATTCATTTTGCTGCTGCTGGCCATGAATTATACATGGCAAACATCTGCAAAACTATGCAGGAGCTGAAGGCAGGGGGATCTGAAATCTGCTCCAGCCCTTGGGGCTTGGAACCTTGCCCAGGGATGGCTCTGCAGGCACTCACAGGATGGTTAAAGTTTCGGACTAGGACTGGGGAAAACCAGGTTTAATTCCCTATTCAGCCAAGTTCTCTAAGTCCACAGCCACACCATACATTTAAAACACTCTTTGGGCTTCCCTCAAAGAGCTGTAGTTTGTTAAGGGTGCTGAGAGTTGTTAGGAGACCCCAACTCATCTCACAGAGCTACAAATCCCAGAGTTTCCTGTGGAGAGAGATCACCACTCTGTGAATGTGACCAAGATGGGCTAGTCACTTCATGCTCTCCAACATTTCTCCATTGAAAATAGGGACTTCCTATTGCATACCTTCCAACATTTCTCAGCTTAAAATAGGGATGTTCTAAGGAAAAGCAGGACATTCCAGAATCAAATGAGAAACCAGGAAGGTTTCTGTAAATCTGGGACTGTCCCTAGAAAATAGGGGCACTTGGAGGGTCTGCACTCTTTCTCAGCATAGCTTCTCTCACAGAGATGTTATAAGGCTAGAATGGGAGAACACCTGACACCTTGGAGAAAAGGTGGTACATAAATGTGAGAAGTAAATAGAATACGCTTTGTATTCTGAAGTGCCAGGGGAAGAGATTTCCAGTGATATTTTGCAGAGCTGACCCAGTATACGGCAAGTTCCTATATTCTTATGATTCCCTAAAAGCACAGACTAGCCAGTGCAGAATTAATATGAAGACATCAAGGACTTTACAACCAATGCCCTTCTCTAGACAACCTGGCACAGGATGGCACGTCCTACTTAAGAGCAATCAGGTTTTTACATGTGTTGTGATTTAGCTTGATTTTTGGAAGAAGAAGAAAATAAAAGCGCACAAGCCGGTGATTAAAGGAGACATTTTTGGCTGTGCACTTTCAGAGATGGAAGCTATTTACTTTGATGAGA